CGATTCTTGGTGATATAAGATATAAGGTGTGCCCCAAAGGCCGACACCAGAAAGAGACGACTAGCCGATTTTCGGTAGACAACATCGATTGAGGAGAGGCACAGTCATTCCAACTTCCACTTCAACTTTGGATCATTAGTAGATACGCTTGCTTCTTCAAGACTTGATTGAGTTGATTGAGAAAAGGATCGATTCTGAAACATATTTTCATTGCCCAATGAAGTGCACAATGATCAAGATGGGGAAATGAATTGCTCAAAGAACTTTTGCGGACAAGGAGAACTCAACATAACTCAAATTTGAAGCAAATATAGGTTTTTTTTACAAAGAACGATTCTGTGTTGTATTGAGTTTTGAAAATTGACCGAAAACAGAAGGATTGGTTGGTTGTTTTTGTAAAAAAGATGCCAATTATTTATTTTACTGAAACCAAAAATGATAAATATAAAAACAAGAATCAAAACAAAAAGATTTTTGCCAGTTTAAAGCAATCAGACTGTCCCATTCGCTTTTCAACGACTCTTCAAATGCTCGAAATTTCTCCTCCAATTCTTGATCCATTTTTGCGAATTTCTCCCGATATGGATCAACAATTGACTAAAATTGAGTCATTAAATGAAATGGTTAACATTTCATGATTTTACATTGATTCGGATTTCCTTTATTTTCGGGATTTGCTCGATCAATTCGGGGAGTTCACGAAGAAATTCTAAAAGAAAACTTTCTACATGAGTTTTCTTTGATCGCGAGTAATTTTCGCATTAAACTTTTCCACCGGGCTATGTACCAATTTTCTCCTCTACCTCGTAGCCAATCATCCCTCGTTTCAATTGATTTTGGATCAATATAAGAAACGTCACAAATTGAACATTTCATCCAAAAATATTCAGAACAAGAAGGATCAGCTGTCCGATGCGTTCAATAACATTTTTTGCAGATTGCGTGTCCACAAAACAGAATAACGGGTTTGCTTTCATCTTTCTCCATCGAATCTTGATACAATTTTTGGATTAATCTCCATTTTCTCACATTTCACATCACATTTCGGACATTTGAGTGGATTGGTGATTGGCTGAAGATTTTGCTGAATTTGGTCAATGAAAAATTGCTTTTTAACCTCCGAAAGGAGCCATCCATTTCCATTCGAAGATTCGATAATTGATGGATCGTTTAAAAGATCTGAAATGATTCGAATAAGGATTCGTCAAAGGGAGATTATGTAATTATTACCAAAGAAGAAGCTACGGAATATATAAGTTAAACAACAATCTTCGTTCAAGTCACATTGATGTTTTCTTTCTTCGTTATCCAATGATTTCTCCTTGTCCCAACATTCCTTACAAATCACTTTTCCACACTCTAATTGACACGGATATTTGGAGACATTACTCGATTTCGAATTTGAAAACCATGATTTGATTGAAATACAAGAGAAAGTGATAATTAGTTCGACTGATTTCAGACTATAACTAATCATTGTCAGCGAAATTCAACAAGAAAGTTTTTAATCTTTTAAAAATCCCCTTTTCTTCTTGTAATTGATAAAACTCACACGGATATTCGCAAAGAGAACAGTTCAATGAGTGGAAAATCTTCAGTTCCGAGCTCATCTTTCTAAAAATTGACAAATAAAGAAAAGAAATCGATTCGAAAAGGGAAAATGAAAGATAATGGAGTCGAAGGGTGAATTGGGTGATAAGACGTGCTGGAAATGAATTGCAAAAGAAAATTCAAGAATTTAGGAAAAAGTTTATGCTTTGCAAGAATTATTATTTAAATTTCCAAAAGATAATTTTCTTTTTCTCACATATTTATTTTTAAAGCTACAGTTAAAAGACTGTGAATCGAATCAATTTGAAATTGATGGGTGATAAGATGGAGAAATGAATTGCTCAAGAAATTTTTGCGAACAGAGAGAACTTGTCGGTGAAAGAGATTTGAAATAAAGATAGAGTTTTACGAAAATTAGTTACTAGTGATATTCGCAAATTGCCTGGAAAAACAATGTTTTTTGCGTGCAAAAGCAGATCTATCTTTATTTCAAATTTCACTTCTTTGACAAATTCCCCGCTGCAAAGTTGCGACACGCATTTCCTGCGGCGGAACCGGGATTTTCTGGTTTTTGTAACTAGTTTCAATGTCTGAAAATCAAAGGAAATCAGCTTCATTCAATCCTTTTTACTCATTATTTCTAGAAAATAATGAATTTCGATTAGGGATCAAAGTTTAAAATGTGAATTTGAACTGAGTGCGGGTAATTGTACATCCCCACCCTGTACATCCCCACGCCGCCAATTGACCTAACCATTCTAGATTTATAATATTATTTCATCTACTTGATGCATATATTTGTCTAATCTACGCAAAAAAAACTAGGCCTAAACATATCTTAAACTTAATCTAAACACATGATTTTAAAGTAACCTAACTTGGGTGCACAAAAAGCATGGGGATATATAACTGGATAGCACCATAATTTCATTTAATCGGACTACTTTTTTGTATTTTTACATCTTCTTGCATTGATAATTTTCTTTTTTAGGTGACGGGAGGTGCTACAAAACGAAAAGCCTAGAGCCGTCAGCCTATCAAAAACGGAAAGCCGACAGTGCCGCCTTTAAACTTAAGGCCGTACATTTTCGAAAGAAAAACTCGAAATAGGCAAAAAATGACAACAATGCCTACGACGAGATGCCAAAAACTGTATGAATTTCGATTTACAACAAACAAACTAAATGAAAAACAAAGTCAATGAACGTCGATTTCCAGTCGATTTCCTGACCATTCGGCTGTTTGAGCCCTACATTGCATGCCATTCTTCAAAATATAAATACAGTTCTAATAAAAGTAGTCAGCTAATTGGCCTCAGCTCACCTTTTCAAATTGTTTAAAATCTTTGTTTTTAGAATCTTTTGAACAATTTTTGATTTTGAAAGTCAAAGTAGGCTTCATCGATTCTTTGCTTATCGCAATTTTGACTTTTTGAGTCTCTCAGGTAATCTGTTTTCTAAAACCGGTCAACAAATTGGGTTTGGGAATTTTGTGAAGCAAGCAAACTATCATATTGTTTCTATTGGGTTGGTGGACTGAAAACTTCGGGACTTTGAACTAAAATTTATTGAACATAAAACCATGAATTCATTCGAAATAATTTCCATTATTATTGACGACTTCTGCCCATTTTACAGGCAATTTGGGGATTCCTCTTTCGTGGTAGGATTTTGGTTTGTGTGTGGGACAAGTGTGAGACTCAAAAATGGAGGACGGGAGATGTCCCAGTTTGAGCACTTTCTTCAAAAGAAACCCATTTTGGTATCAATACAAAAGTTGTAGAGAATCAAAAATTAGGCTTATAGCGAAATTTCCAAAAAGATACACTTAGTAGTTCCGTTAAAATGCAAGTTTTGTGAAAATTCGTAAATTTTGCATTTCTCGAAAACCAGTTTTTGAATCGTTCTGAAAATTTGGATATAAGCTTAAATTTTGATTCTCTACAACTCTTCCATTGACACCAAAATGGGTTTTTTTGAAGAAAGTGCTCAAACTGTGACATATGACAATAGCCCGCAGTTTTCAATTCACCAATCCAATACATGACGACTAGAGAACTTTGTCTTTGAAACCCAATAATCCTTTTAAGAGCCGCAAATAAACTCATAGAGTGGACAACATCGGATGCTCTCATTGTGCTGTACTCGGCCAGGTTGAAGGACATATGATCGAGGAAATTCACGCTCAACTTTAGTCCTCAAGCCCTCATCACGGCGGCCGGGAAGAACTACACTTTTCAGGGAAAAACGATTGTTTTGCATATGAATGGTTTTGCTTTTGGTTTTTTCAACACATGTTTGACGTCTTTAGATGGGATTGATGTGAGTTCCCTCTCCGTCGAAGTCGTCGAGTCGAAAAACTTTCAAAGCCAGTTTTGGACTGCTTCTTCCGAAGTGTTCTCCCGCAAGCTCATTATATTGATTGCATTAAGGGGTCGTCTTAACAAACAAACTATCATTTCTTAAAAGCAAACAAACTAACAAACTATCATATTGTCTCTAGCTACAGTAATTCTTTAGTTTTTTTAGCCGATCTTTTACTTTTGTAAATTAGAAACAAGATTACAGTTTTTATGCTATATTTTACTTATGTTTTGCAAAAAATGAGCTCAAATCACGATCATTCGTTGATTGGCTTTGGAACAATCGCTGTGCATGCCGGACAAGATCCCGAGAAATGGGTTTCGAATCATGTGCGTGAAAAGGGCCAATGAGTTGAAAATATTTGGTTAAAACCCAAATCCCAAATCAAAATGCACCAAACCAAGTACTACTTTATTCAACCCAGCCTTTAAGGATTATCGAAACGAAACAGTTTCTAAATGAAAAAAAGAGAAAGTTGTCCCTTTTCATAGTGAAAGTTGTTGTCCCTTTTCAATCTCACTTTTTAATCAAATATCAAACCAATCATTTAAAGTTAAACAAAAAAGATCTTGATTTTAGAAATTATTAAACAAAATGAAACAAAAACTCTTTTAATTGTTGATTTTTGATTAACGATAATTGGTCTTAAACTATTTTTACAATCGAAATGTTACTTCGAAGCATTAATTACAATTTCTCTCGTTCAAGACGCTAAAAAAGACTCCAGCATTGTAGAGGGGTCGAACAAAGAACCCCCTCTTTAGCGCCAGACTGACACAAAGCGCCTTAGGTCACTTGGCCACACTCTTAGGGGGAAATCAGAAATCGAGAAACCGCATTTCTAAACCGCAACTCTAAACTAGTTTTTAACACATCTGATATGGGTTTTTTCAATTTTAACGATAACCAAACAACTGTTGTCCATTTGAAAGTCAGCATTGTTAGATGGAGTTAAAAAAGGATAGTTTTTCCTTTCAAGACTTGATTTTTAAGTGACTTGTTCATTTGAAAGCAACAAAAGCATTTTATTCCAAAATTTACAACAAAATGATAAGAAAAACAAAAAAAAGGAAACTTGGTTCTCTAATGCGGATGATTTTGATTCTTTTGCTGTTCAAAGGCAAGAAAATCCTGAAAAACGAATTTCAATGGGATTTAAGAAAGAAGAGAAGAAGAGAAAGATTTAAGAATTGAAAACATGATTGTTAAAACGATGAGTCAAATTTTAAGCTCTAGAATTCGTGGAAAATCTAAGCAACATGCATTATGACAGATCCATGCTTGATTAGTTACCTCAGAAATTGTTATTTTGCCTCTTTTGTTGCTCGAAAGCGAGAAAATCCTGGAAATTGTGTGAATAGAAGAAAAAGACGGTTACGATAGTTTTATAGGCGAAGAATTGGCTTCTTTTTTGATGAAGGAGTGCGGTAGCTTGCTTGTATTAAAATAGAAAGAAAGGTTAGGGTAAAGGAGGAAAAATAGTGGGGAAAACTTACGATTAAGAATGTTGCTCCAAAAAGCGCTGCTTTTAGTGTCACCTCAAGATCGATTGGGACTAAAAAAACGAAAAAAATGAAAAAATGAGTGATTAGAGAGGGATTAAAAGTAAAATTATGAAGTTTCGACTTAAATTTTATTGTTTTTGTTGGAGTTCTTGAAAACCACATCGTGTACAAACAGTGTGCCCGTCAAAATTATCTGTTTCCGGTTAAGTTTATTTGTATTTCTTATTTTCATTGGATGTAGAATTATCTGCTGAATCATTGGATGTAGAATTCTTTGATGAATATTTTTTTAAAGCCGTTTAGAACAAATCTAGGATGAGAAAAATGCCAAAAAGCGAGGTTAAATAAGCTTTTCTGGTGATCTAGAGATGCTTTTCTAGTATGCAAAAATGTAGATAATTTTTTTCTGCATCCAATAACAATAAGAAACACATTGAAACTTAACCGCAAAGAGGCAATTTTTCCTGTTGGCACTGTTTTGAACAGCTCACATCTTTCTTACATTCACACGTGAAAACATCAGCATTTGTGTAGGATTCGGCGATGAAACCACGCCATTTTTTCCGTATCGATCCGATCACTTGACGGCTATCATCGGGCAAAAGAATCTAAAAAGAAAAATTGAATTAATATGAAAAAATTTAATACGTAAGAAATACCAATTTATTACCTCATAAACCTTATCCGCGCAACAATTACAATTGTACGTCCATCCGCACATCCCAGGACCTTCGATTCTAAATTTTGTTAGATTTAAAGAATACCGATTTAAAATCTTTATATCAAGATGTTTTAGCCGTTTTGAAAAGACCTTCGTAATTAGTTAGTCATTTAGAAATGTAATGTTTGAATGCAAATTTTTCTAATAACATCAATAATTTTCGATTGATTTTTCTTTTTTTGGCTTTTCTTTGATTCTTTGCTTTTATTACATAGTTTTTTTCAGAATCGATCCTTTTCTCAATCAACTCTATGAAGTCTTGAAGAAACAAAGGTATCTACTAATGATCTAAAGTTGAAGTGGAAGTTGGAATGACTGTTCGTCTCATAAATCGATGTTGCTGACCGAGAATCGGCCAGTCGTCTCTTTCTAGTGTCGGCCTTTGGAGGTTTATATCAGACTAGCACCAAGAATCGAGTTTTGCAGTTGAAGGAAAACTTAGTTGAATAAATCTGTGTTTGCAGAAAGATAGTATTGATTAAATTGAAATACAAATGAAGCTTGCATTTAATAAACTATTATTTAACTTCTCTCTAAAGTTTTCTTTTATTATCCTATCAATAATATAGTTATTATGCAAAATTTCTATGCTTTACTTACTTGAAAACTTCTTTCGACTCATCAGCGTTGTTAACGACGAAATTATGGCAACAACAGCCGAACGTTTGTCGGACGACGCTCACCTGAATAGCTATTAAGTTATTTAATGGGAAAACGGAAAGAATTCGATGAAAGGAACGGTATATCTTTTGCCCACCACATTCCCGGGTGGCGCCTCAATGGTTGTCTCGGTGGCACAGCTCTCCGCTCCCGCACAACAGCCACAATCACAGAGACATTTGAAGGGACGTGTGAAACGCATCACTTCCTGTAAATAAAATATATGTGGTGTTTAATATTTAGTCAGGAAAAGTTGTCTTATATACAGGATGATTATGAAGACTTTTAAGCTCGCAGATCGTTTAGGCCTCTCAAAATTGGTTTATGAAAAAAAATCGTCAAGAAAGCACTGCATTGGAGTTAGAAAAAACTCGAGTTTCTTAATTATTTTTACAGTTTACTAAATTTGATATTCCAAAGTTGATTTATTAGAACTCGATCAGCAAATTTTAAAAAAAGGAATGAGATGTTTAAGATGGAAAGTTTCGCATTAAAGTGGGCCAACCCAAAGAATTTAACCAAAAAAAAGGAAAGGAGAAAAAGGACTATTGGAAAGATTTTTTTGCTTTTGAAAATAAATGAATAATATCAAAAATTTGAATTGAATTTGATGAAAATCCGTAGCCTATCTTTCATTGTAATGTTTTTTTGTTTAAGCTTTTGAAATGAACCCGATTGAAATTATCGACAACGTGCATTGTGTAGCCTCGAAGTGGGCCACAGCATTGTCGCTCGCAAACATCCGACTCTTCAAAAGCAAAGAATACCTAAATATTGCTTTATTATTTAAAAAAATAAAACATTTCTATAGTACCTGTTGCCCAGCTGAGTTGAAAACAGAGTACTTGTTTTTCACTTCCCAACTCACCATGATTTCAAGTAAAGACATATGCTGAAAGATGAATTTTGAGGTAAAAGTTTAAAAATTAGTTGGAATTTGTATAAATATTTGAATGGAATACCTGATTGATAACAAGTTTATCGATTTGAGTCAAATACTCCAACCCTGGTGGGACACCGGGCATTTGCGGTGGTGGCTCCATCCATTGAACGGCTGAGAAGAAATGTTTTAAAGTTCTATGGCATTTTAGATATGTTATGGATAGCTTTAGATAAGTTATTATTATTATCATTATTATTATATTTCCGATAATCAACCAGCGCCCGGTGGTGGCGGAGGAGCGCCGGGGCCCATCGGTTGAGAGGTGATCACTGGAGCGCCGGAGACAAATGCGCTCGTCTGAATTGAGGGGAATATTGGAAAGGTTATTGAAAAGTATATTTTATGATTACTGATAAGATTTTAAAGGTTTTCATAGTTATTTTCAACTATTTTTAAGGTAAAGAATACTGGCAAGGCCGTCAGACATAAAGAAAGATTCTAGCCTAGTTTTTTGGCATTTCTGGTTTTCAAAGGTCTGCCAAAAGCCCTACAGGCTTTTGTTTGGATTATGGCCTGGCCTTTAATGGCTACAGATTCAAGGTTGATTCTAGGACCAAATTTCTAAACCAAGCTAAGGCAAAAACAGAGCATAACTAAGATCAATAGCTAGCTACCATTGCTTGGATAACCAGCCATGTCTAACTGATCGTTGTTGATTTACCACCGAGTTTTGAAGCCTATTTTATTTTTTTTTTACTAATTCCTAAATTTTTTACTAATTCCGAATATTTAGATTTTGTGTGATGAATTTAAATTTTCGATTTAAATCCGTTTAAAGTTTGTGTGTGGAAAAGGAGTTTTTAAGTGTTGCGCTTATATGACCGCGAGAGTATCAAGCGATCTTCGAAGTGTTCCTCGAAGATATGCCATGGTGGTCAAGTGATAGTGATGGCCCAAGTGCGCTAGTCACTCAACCTCTTCGCCCTAGTTCTAGTCCGAACTTGGGTAAAACATTTGCTCTTTGCAAAAGCGATTTCCAAAGCTTTGATTTATGTTGTAACTTTTCTTTGGGCTTTCTTTTAAAGTAAATCTATTACCTACATATAATCAGATTTCAGGATAAATACCTGAAACGATCCGGCAGCCGGATATCCCATTCCTCCCATTGGCATCGGTTGATCGATCATCGGCATTGTGTTCATTGGGGCCATCATTGGGGCGCCCTGCATCGGGATCGAGCCGGGCACTTGCATTTTCTAGAAAATGGTATAAGTTTCCATAGCTTTCAAATAAAAGACTTGAAAAGTGTCATTTCACTCAAAGAAATGTAATATAAAGAAATGTGGAGTTCAAAGAGTGGAGCCAAAAAATGAGAAAACTTTCGAAAAAGAATTTCCTGGGAAAGGTTGTTGTTTTTTGGGAAGTTTTAAGACGGAGAATGAAGAGAAAATGACTAATTCTATGAACTTTGATAAGAAAAAGGAAGAGTTTTTCAAAGTTTGTTGAAAAATTCGACAAGAAATTGAGTTTTTCAAAGTTTGTTCCAAAATTTAGACTTTCATGGTTTCAAAACCGTTTAAATGAAGCTGATGCAATGATCGACTAAAGCACGATCATTGGGAGACAAAAGAAAACAGTTAGGATCAAGAAAAGAAGTCAAATCAGGGTCAGTTTTTTTGGATTTGTTGCTAGAGACTAATTTCAGTTTATATTTGTGAAGTTGATTGGAAAAGAAAAGAAAAATATTAAACGCTATTTGTAACACTTTTTGATGAGATCTGAAAATCTGAAATTCAAGAAAAGATCGGATTTTTGTGAAATAAAGCAAAAAGTTTGTAAACTAAAGAATTCAATAGAAAAAATTGTTCAAAACAAAAAAAAAAACTTTCAACTTTCTGAACGAAATGAGCTGGAATTTGTTTTACAATTTAAAATTCATATTGTACATCTTACATACAGAGCGGGGATTTCTGATTCTGAGTCCGGAATGGTAGTTTTTGCTAGAAATAGGCGAAAAAACAGGAAAGAAATCTTGCTGAAACTGATCAAACTTGGAACTGGCCGATGATCAAAATAAAATGACTCTGCTCAGTGAGCTAGAGAATTTGGGGAACAGTGATCAGTGTTGATCAGCTTGATCAAAAGTCAGATTTTTGTGAAATAAAACAAAAAGTTTGTAAACTAAAGAATTCAAAAGCAAAAATTGTACAAAACAAAAAAAACTTTTTACTTTCTAAACGAAATGAGCTGGAATTTGTTTTACAATTTAAAATTCATTTTGTACATCTTTTACTTTGGCACTAAGTATGTTTTCTTTAAAATAATCGCTTAAATACAATAACAAACGTAAAATCTACAATATGTTTTATCTGTAAAAGATAAAAATATAATATTAGATAAGAAACCCTGTTGGCTGCAATCCAAGAGAAAGATTTAGATCTATTGGATCTATTGGATAAGGGAAGAGCTAGAAGGGAAGAGATTAAGACAGTGAGGAGACAACGAGATGCACTCATTGTTCAATTGAAACAAGTAGATTTCGTTTATGATTTCATCGAATCTCTTTAGGGAAAGGAGGGTCAAAGGTTGATGATGTGTGCTGATCAAAGCACCGTCAATAATCTCACTAACAGAAATAAACTCACTATCAGCTATCATTTACATTCTCAATCAAATTTTTCAGTAATTCTCGCTAATTTCCCTATGGAAACTATGGAAACGAGGTAAAACAAGAGAAAAAAGGGAAAGGGAAAGTTGAAAGAATTATAAATTTAGAGAGATTTAGAGAAATGATCTCTTAAAATGTCATTTTTCTGCTTTTTTCTCTGTTTTACTTTGTGCTGAACACCTGTCATGGTAACCGTGGGCAATTTCGAAACAAAATTAGCTTCAACGTTATTTTTAAAAGTTAGAAAACTTTTGACATCAAAGTTTATCGAACATTCCGAAACATTTACACAGAAAAAGTATCATTTGCGAGATATTTCTTGCACTCTGAATTCTTCACACATTCCATATTCGGATTGTAACTGTAGCCCCGTCTACAGACGCATTCATAATGACGACATTGGATCCAGCATTGCTGAAATTGGGAAAAGACTGATAGAACTTGAACCCTAACTAGACCAGTCACTTGTTCAAGTCAACCAGAGTCAAGTCCTAAGATTCGTTTAAAATTTGGCTGTTTACTTGGTACTTGGCTATTTATTTGGTTATTTACTTGGCTATTCATTTGGGCCTATCAACTAACCACAGTTGAAACTAGACTAGAGCTGCAACTCTGATTTATGACTTCCGATTATCGACTAACTGTTGTAGCGACTCCGCCTGATTTAAATCCACACGCACGACATTTTCTCATCGGTGCACACCACAGCCGTTCCTCGTAGGGTTCCTCGCATTTTCTGCAATTCGAAATCGATTTCAATTCCCAAATTCCTTTCAATAAAATCTTCTGAATGCTTAAAAGTATGATCAAACAAAAATTGAGCAATTTAATTACCATATTGATAAAATTTTTAATCACCCAGCATTCTCTTACCGAAAATTATTCCCTTGTGAAAACCAAACTCTTCGATTTCTTGGCTCAACTTCAATGAAAAGCACTGTGAATAGAGGCAAGATGTAGAAATATTTCATTGAAAGTATATAATAATTGATTTGAAGGAAATTCTTACACATTCATTTGCAAATATACAAATTATCGGTGAAAGAGGTGGAAAGGAAAAGAAAAAGGCTAATGAATATTTATGTGATGAGGAAATTGAGAGACAATTCCGGACAATTATCCTAAAAGTATTCGAATTTAGGTTGAAAGAGGAAAGAAATAGAAATAGATAGGTATTGTTTAAGGAAAAGCTAAAACTTTCGCATAGAAGTCAAGTGTTTTTCGGATAGATGGACAGGAATTTCGGTTTTCTCCTCCAGTGAGTTTGGAAACTTTTGAAACCGAAAACACTCGGAGATTCACTGCAAATGCTGTATTAGAATGGCATGTCATTCAATCAATCAATCATTGCTTCATCATTTAGAAGATCTAAAAGATTCTAGAAAAGAATCAAGCACAAAATTACCAACCAAGTCATGTGGCGGATTGTAGCAAAGAAAACAATCCGTATTTTTGATGTGACATTTAGTTGGAATGGTAGTAGTAAAGTGGACTGGAATGATAGTAGTAACGTTTTTTTAAACAGGCGAAAAAATAGCAAAGAAATCTTGCTGAAACTGATCAAACTTGGAACTGCCCGATGATCAGTTTAAAACTGACCAACACTGGTCACTGTTGCCAAATTCTGTGGCTCTATTGCTGAACTGAACCGAAAATTTTAAGGGAAATTCAAAGCTGATGGGGATTTTGGTACTTAGATTGAAACTCACACTGCTCTGCCAAATGAACAAGTGAATGATTGAATTGGATCTGAATTCATAAGTTGAATACTAGTAATAGGAGGATCACTGTGCATTGTATCAATTTAAGAAATACTAGAAAACGAGAATTGGCTTTGAAGTGAATTGGTGATAAGATGGGAAAATGAATTGCTCAAGGAATTTTTGCGGATAAGGAGAAATCAACAAACTCAAATTTGAAGCGAATATAGTTTTTTCACAAAGGTATATTCTGTATTGGATTGAGTTTTGAAAATCGACTGAAAAACAGAAGGATTTGTTGGCAGTTTTTTGTAAAAAAATAAAAAAGTATGCATTTTACTGAAACCAAAAATGATAAATATAAAACAAGAATGAAAACAAAAACATTTTGTCAGTTTAAAGCAACCAGACTGTTCCATTCGCTTTGTTCAACGACTCTTCAAATGCTCGAAATTTCTCCTCCAATTCTTGATCCATTTCTGCGAATTTCTCCCGATATGAATCAACAATTGACTAAAATTGAGTCATTAAATGAAATGATTTCATGATTTTACCTTGATTCGGATTTCCTTTACTTTACAAAGGAATTCTAAAAGAAAACTTTCTACATGAGTTTTCCTTGAAAAATTGATTGTAAGTAATTTTCTTATTTAACTTTTTCACCGGGCTATGTACCAATTCTCTCTTTTACCTCGTAGCCAATTATCTCTCGTTTCAATTGAATTTGGATAAAACGAAAAATCATTACAGATCGAAGATTTTATCCTATAGAACACGTGTCTTATAGAATCAACTCGCTGATGCGTTAAAAAACATTTTGTGCAAAATTTGTGTTCACAATTCAGAAGAACGGGTTTGCTTTCATCTTTCTCCATCGAGCCTTAATACAATTTTTGGATTAATCTCCATTTTCTCACATTGCACATCACATTTCGAACATTTGAGTAGATTGGTGATTGGCTGAAGATTTTACTGAATTTGGTTAATAAAAAATTGCTTTTTAACCTCCGAAAGAAGCCATCCATTTCCATTCGGAGATTTGATAATTGATGCATCGTTTAAAAGAACTGAAATGATTCGAATGAGGATTCGTCAACGGGAGATTATGTAATTATTACCGCGTAAGAAGCGGGGGGATGCGTTGGGATGTTGGAAATAACAATCCCATTTCAAGTCACATTGATGTTTTCTTTCTTTTTTTTCCAATGATCTGTCCTTTGAACCACATTCCTTACAAATCGCTTTTCCACACCCTAATTGATATGGAAATTTGGGATCATTTATCGATTTCGAATCTGAAAACGATGATTTGATTCAAATCTATGAGAAAGTGATAATTAATATGACTGATCTCAGAGACTGCAACAAATCATTTTCAGCAAAATTCAACAAGAAAATTTTGAATCTTTTAAAAATCCCTTTTCCTTATTCTAATTGATAAAACTCACACGGAGCTTTGCAGAGAGAACAGTTCAATGAGTGGAAAATCTTCAGTTTCAAGCTCATCTTTCTAAAAATTGGCAAATAAAGAAAAGAAGTCGATTCGAAAAGGGAAAATGGATTCGAAAATGGAGCCAAATTGGGTGATAAGACGTGGTGGAAATGGATTGCAAAAGAAAATTCAAAAATTTGGGAAAAAGTTTATGCTTTGCAAGAATTATTTTTTCAATTGCCAAAAAGATAATTTTCTTTTTCTCACATATTTATTTTAAAAGTTATATCAAATTAAAGGATTAGATCGAGATTATTCTCAATCGAACTCCATTCATCCGTTCCATTAAAGCCGATTGGCCCCAGAATTTTTGGCTGCTCTTGTCTGATCTGTTTATTATTTATTGACATATTTTTGTTCTCGTTGTTCCTTCTCACCATACAAACACAGACGCAGGAATGGTAGTTTTTGGTATAAAAAGGCGAAAAGAGCAGCAAAGAAATCTTGCTGAAACTGATCAAACTAGGAACTGGCCAATGATCAGTTTAAAACCGATCAACACTCTTCACTGTTTCCGAATTCTCTAGCTCTATTCCCGAATGGAACGGGAGATTTAAATGTGATTGTACTTATTGAATATATTGAAACGCGCACTGAAATTTGAAAAATGAACAAGTGAATCAACAAGTGTTTGAAAAGTTTTCAGATCTGAATTGATAAGTTAAATACTAGTATTAGGAGCATGACTGTGAACTGTATCAATTTAAGAAATGCTAGAAAAACGGGAACTGGCTTTGAAATGGCTCGGTGTTAAGATGGGAAAATGAATTGCTCAATGAATTTTTGCGGACAACGAGAACTTATCAGTAAAAGAAATTTGAAATAAAGATTCTCCCTGCCATTTCCTTGTGTTTTTTCATTAGCAAAACTTATTAAGGCAAAAATTGAATTTTGAAACAATCAGTTTGAGTATGACAATGGTATTGCCAAATGGTGTATCAATGTCAGTATCAGCCAATGTACCAGCGCCCAAGGGCAGTGCCACAGAATTCACGATCGATGTCAATGTCCCTTTGATTATTGGGCCAATCTGGGCAACCCACATCGTTTCCGAGACAAACTGTGGAAAGACGGAATTAACGGAAATTCTGACCTCATTCCCGTGCTCGCAAACATTCCCTCAAGTCACGCTTCAAACTCACACTTTCTTATATTTCCTATCAATACCTATCCTGCTACTCAATAAAAAGTCTTTTTTTCTTAAAAAGCTTAATATCTCTTATTTTACTGATTTTCAACCTCTTCATTCATTTTTTGGTTGTTTGAGCTGTACAGGGTTGTCCAGGATTACGGAGACTAGGGTTTTCTTTGATATTGCATATTTTTGCTTACAACCTATATATAGTTTTTGTCTTTCTTTTCGTTCACTTTACGAACATGGTCTGAATATTTTATGAACATGGACTAAATCTGAAAGTTCTTTAGTTCCGGACAACCATTTACATCTTGGCTTCATCTTGCGATCAAATATAGCAATTGAGCTGGCCTTTATTCAAGTGATTTTTCAAGGATAAATTTATAACTGTAGCACAGTATAACGGTGCCAGTCAGTGTAGCACCTAATGCCTCGGAAAGAGGACCACCACTGTGAAAGCCGAATGTACCAGTGGTAGCACCACGAATGCCACACCAGTGATGGCACCAGTCAATGTACCACCTAATGTCTACCTGAGAGGACCAAATGCACGATCGAGAAGACCAGATGTGCTAGACAGTATGACAATGACATTGCTAAATGGTGTATCAATGTCAGTACCAGTCAATGTACCAGCGCCAACAGCAGTGCCACAGAATTCAGAAAGCAAAAACAATGTTAGGGTTCCTTCCATTATTGGGCCAATCTGGGCAACCCACATCGTTTCCCGAAGAAGCTGTGGAAAGACGGAATTAACGGAAATTTCATTTTCTTCACAGATAAATTTATGACTGTACACAAAATCACACAAAATTTTACCGGTAACCGGTAATTTTACCGGAGACTAGGGTTTTCTTTGATATTGCATATTTTTGCTTACAACCTATATATTGTTTTTGTCTTTCCTTTCGTTTATTTTACGGACATGATCTGAACATTTTACGAACATGGACTAGACCTGTACAGTTCTTTAGTCCCGGACAACCCTTTACATCTTGCTTTCATCTTGCGATCAAATAGAGCAATTGAGCTAGCCTTTGTTTCAAGTATTCTTCAATTTTTCAAGGATAAATTTATAAGTGTACACAAAATCACGCAAATTTTACCGGTATAACAGTTAGAGCAAGAGATTTTGGAGGAATTTAAATGCTCCTTTGAGGTTTATTTGCAAAAATAGGCTTATTTTCTTCCGATTCCACCGTTTTGACCGTTGTTGGGAGATTCACCCTGTTGGCCACCGAATCCACCTGAAATCCCAGAATTTCAAATAATATTCAGTTATAATATTAATTGGAATTTGTTTAAAACTGATTTTTAGCCATTTTTACAACAAACCTTGTCCTCCGAATCCGCCATTTTGTCCATTTTGTCCGCTTTGTCCACCGAATCCGCCTGAAATTTCAAAAATATAATTAGAATCGTTTTTGTATTCAAATTTAGAGATTTATATGCAAACTTTGAATCACTTTATTATTCTCTACCTTGTCCTCCGAATCCATTCTGCCCATTTTGACCGTTTTGTCCGCCAAATTGTCCTTGTCCACCAAATCCACCTGAAATATTCATTTTATAGGATTCATTATCTACAGTGATCATTAGTATTAATGAAATTACTTTGTAGAAATTGATTCTAGTGCAAAATAC